CTAAAATAGACGCAACAGCAGAAAGAAGTGGGCACCAGCTTATAACCTCTCTGCTGGAAAAACCTAGTCAACCTTTGTGAAAAAAAAGCCAGCCCTGGGCCAAGGTCCATCGCGGAGAACCGGCTGCTTCTGCAGTTGCGAAGGTTCGGACTCGGGCCCCCGTCGGAAGTCCGGGCACGTGTTGTCTGGAGGTTTGGCAATGGTTGTGTATGGTTCACTTGGGAGGGACATGGGGCAGACTTAATTGTAAACGCTTCGCGTTGCCCGCCTCGGCCCAGCCTAGTTTGAGGGAAGGGTCAGGAACACCGAAATCCAGTGTTGGGAAGGTCCGAATACCTGAAGCTGGCTCCAGACAAGTCAGACAAGCCGGCCTCGCCTGGTTGGGCTGGGCCACAGGCTAGTCTCAGACACATCAGATAAGCCTGCGCTGGGCCTGAAGCCAGTCTCGGGCAGCTTGGCTGGACCTTGCTTGCGTGGGCCTGAAAAGCCATGGGTGGGTTGCTGGCGGACTACGCTGCTGGTTGCGCCTGGAACTTGGGCTGGGCCCCTTCAGCGCAGTCTGAAACTAATCTCAAAGTATGCCAGCCTGAGACTAGCCTCAGGCCCAGTCCCTCAGCCCGCCTGCTGGCGTGTCTTACGTGTCTGCGACTGGCCTCAGGCCCAGCCCAGCCAGCAACTCGCCACCCAGCCTCAGGCCCAAGTGTGTATGAAACAGGCCTTGCCCATCCAGCAGCACAGCTCAGCCCAGCCCGCTGGGCCTGCTGGATGACTTGGGGCCAGACGCGAGCAGGAGGTCAAGGCCTGGCTGAGTTGCTTGGGCAGCCGGACTGAGGGGCTGGGGCACGTCAGACAGGCTTAGTAGCTGGCATCAGTTTCAGACACGTGAGACTGGTTGTTGGCCTGAGGCCAGTCTCAGACACGTTAGACAAACCTGACCTTGGCACGCTGGGCTGAGCTGCTGGTGGGCTGGGAGCTGGCCGGCCTAGTGGCTGGGATGCTCTGAGATGCGCCGGGGCCTGGGCTGGGCAGGCTGGAACCTTGCTTGGGCTAGGCCTGTTTCAGACAAGCTTGGGCCTGAGGCTGGGCTGGGCTGACAGGCCTGGCCCGCAGGGGTCATGCTTTTCAAGGACAATTTTAGCACATTTTCGCACAAAAATGGACCCAGAGCTGGACGCCGACGAACCCCGAAAATTTCAAGGCCCGCCGGACAGGATTTTGGGCCAGCCGACAGGGGTGGGGGGGGGGGGGGGGGGGGCCGGCAAAATTTTGGTTGGGGAGGGGGTTGGAGGGGAAAAGCGAAGATTCTCTTTGGAGAAGAGATCTGAGCGCCCTTGGCCCCTTTGGGGCCGAGGCGAATTTAGTAGATGAAGGTTACCAAGGGACGCTCCCAACCGCAAGTTGGTGCGGCGCCGGGCAGCAGAATGACCCCCTGTTTGATCTGTGGGGCCACTTGAAGCCTGAGGAACCATGGTTGAGCCATGTGCCATCGGGTAAAAGATGGCGTAATTTCAACCCATTTGGGTGAAAGCGATCCCGTTTGCATACTTAAATAAAAGGATTTCTGGCCATCTACTTTCATTCTCTTTCATTTGCTTCCCAATATGTTTGACTTTTCCTTGTTGGGTTTAAAGGGAACCTATCACGAATGGAAATATGTATGACCTAACACGCAAATGGAAGTTCTGATGAGTTCCCCCACAAGTCAGGAGTTTTGCCTGGCAGGCAGACCTTTTCTCGGCTGCTGCAGCAAGACATCGCCTTCCATGACGTCCGCGATGTTTGGAACCAAGAGCTTGATCCGTCGCAGCCGAGTCGGTTGGGTGTCTCACGCAATTCGGGGTACCCTTTTTTTGCCTTTTTCAAGGGGAAACCCGAGGAACACCACGAGTGGTAGTGTTGAGGAACGCTTTTTGACACAATCCCTCCAGTGTCCCAGGCCGGGATCCAAAGGACCATATGGGCATGTCGGGAAACCACCCAGCTTCAGGGTTCCCCTATCTTGAGACAAACCCATGTGAAGCCTCCGATCTCGGAGCCCATATTTTTGTGACCCATGTCCCCAAGTCCGTGTTTGGTTCGGCATCGACGCAAAAGCCGTCTGCCAGCAAAGGCGACTGAAATCAGGTGTACTTGGACGGGGGAATATGTGTTGTGTTCCCCTTGGTTTTCTTTCACGTGGGAGGACTCGAGAAATTCAAGATCCAGCCCAAACAACGCTCCATGGTTGAGTATTGTACCGCCTTTCTTGGCAGCAAACGCATAGGACTCGTGGATCCAGGTGCATGGCACATTGCTGCAGCGGTGGCGTTGTTTTCAGATGAAGATACACATTGTTTACATAGAACCTGACGTTCGGAGCCCGGTGCCAAAAAGGAAAATGGTCCAAACCAGCACCCTCCGAACGTCGAACGGTTCCATGTGAATGGGACCGTGCCTCGCGGATGTCGAGCGAGCCGAGGTCGGAGAGCTTACCAGCAGGCCGAGGGCGGCCGAGGGCTGCGATCCAATACCGTGGATGGGCGAAATCCATTTCGCGCCGCCTTGAAACCATGGTTGCAACCATTGCTCGTTGCTCGTTGGTATTGAGGGGAATCGAATCATTCCATTAGGTCAGGATTGCGTCCATCCATATGAACCTAGGTGTACCATTCCACTGGTTGGAAAAAAGCGCCTTTTCGCCCAACTGAACACGAGCTTCCTTTTGGGGTGTTGAAAGGAAAAATGTAGCCACGAGCGCCTGAGGTAGATTAGCTGCACCCCAACTCTCATTGTCAGCAGGACACAAGTGGACAACCTT